CATAGAATGGTTTAGTTAATTTTGTATTTATTGGTTCTTTTGTTATTTTGCTTTTTTATATTGCTTTTGTTGTTGTGCCTCCCTCATGTGGTAGACTTGGGTTACTCCATCCCTTTTTAAGCAGCCTTTAGTTCTTTGCTTGCAGGTCAGTTTTTTCTTTGAGTTGGATCCTCATTTGACCTCAGTTAAGTTGGGCCCAGATCCATGTTTATTATTGAAGTTATTTTGTAATGCTTTTAAACATTTGTTAACCATTTTTGACACAATTAAATCAAAGTACTTTTTCAAATTTTGAACACCTCTTGTCCTTATTTAAGTTTGGTCCATCCCTGGCTGTTATTAGTTTGTTTTTCAGCAGGGCATTGCTTTTCCTCCATTTGGTATCCATTACTGCTTTACTTGATTTTTTTAGGCTTGTTCAACATTTTGTATCATTGTTTAATTTTTCATCATAGACTGTGAAATGAGGGAAAAAATATATTTTTTAGCTCCAAGAATCATCGCAAAAATATTGGCAGCACATGTCAGAGATCAGTTGGAATGATGTAAAAATCTATATGAAAAAAGCATTTCTAATGAGGAGGCAGGCTAGCAGACCATAGTTTGCGCTTTGTTTGATTTGTTTGCTTAGTTTGATTTGTTGGCTTTAAAACATGAAATCAAACAGGACTTTTCATTCAGTCCAGGTCTGTCAAATAGTAAAAGTTTGATCCCCGCAAAGACTGGTTAAATCAGATTCTGTTAGAACAGCATACCTATAGTCAATATGAATGCGCAAGACGTCAGGTTTGCATGTATCCCTTTAGCCGTGTACAAAAAAACTATTTAAGGTCAGATTGCCACAGGCTTTTAAAACCCTAGCCCTAGAAATAAGTACAAATCTCTTAAATTAAGTGATTTATCCTTAATTTGAGTAGTTAAATTAGATATTTTCCCAATAGAAAATAAAATAAGATAATTAGATTATATGCACTTGAAATAAGACAATGCAGGTTTTTTAAATTTTCATTTTAAGTGTAAATATTCTTGTTCCATTGGCAAAATGTCTCCTTTACCTCAATCCAAGAACAAAAGCAAAAAATTACTTATCTAGATTTTGATTTTGTCCAGTGTGGAATTGTGTGATTTACTGTCCAAACTTTGAGTAGGCCATTAAAGCACTCTGCTGAAGTAAACATTACTGTTGGAGCTATTTATTCTTTATTTCTTCATCCATTTGCATTGTGTTAATTAATTCCTACATTTATATATATTTTTTTTATTATTTACAGTTTATTTGCAGGTTAATAATTGTTGATTCTATTTATCTTTGCTCTTTTATTTTTCTTATTTATGTTTCGCTGTGAGGTGTGATAGCAAGCGATGTGGATCAGTCCACTTTCTATAAGTGTAGGGGCCTGGGAAAGGACCAACAGACACTTTGGGTTTGGGGCCAAAGGTTTTTATCAGATCAAGGGAGGTAGGACAAAAGAAAAGATTGAACTCTGTAACTGTTGACAAAAAAAGAAAATAAACCATCATCAAGTTTGGACATTGAACCCTCTTTTGCCTGCGTACGAAAACTTGACCCCTTAGTAGTGACTTAATGGAGCTTTAATTGGATGTTTGGCCTGGCAAACAATCACCCCTACAATTACCAAGACAAGTCAGGGCGGTTTTAGTCCAATTATTGGCCCAGACCCATTAAACCCAGGGTTGCAATGTTCACCTGTTAGAAACAGCAGGAAAAGTGTTTCTATCTATTTATTTATTGGAGCAGGAGGGGATTAAAACGTGTGAAAACATCAAACCTGTTAAACAGTTCAGAGACGAATAATTGATGTTATGTATCAGAAATAGGTTCCGGTTCTGTGCTTGATCGGGCTTCCTCCTCTTATGGCCAAAACAAGCCTTTCCTCCGAACCAGAACCCGCCCACATCTCTGATATCCGTCCCTCCTATTGGTCCAGGCCGTGATTCGGCTGCTCTACGTCAGGGCTCCGCTTTGGTGGATTTCTCCGTCAGTTAGCGAGGAACACAAAGGAGGCCAAGAATTTACCGGAAGTCCAAGCCTGCTTTCACAATAAGACAACAAACGTCTGCCAACACATTTTATTTTATATTATTTTAAAGATTTCAGATTTGTCTTTAACACATAGGCTTTTTTAGCATATTTTTGGGTTGCTGAAGCAACCATAATTTGAATAAATATGAGTTGTTTTTTTAAAACTGTATGCGCTTTTTACAATAAAAAAACAAACAAAGCTGTACATTGTAAAAACGTTACAATATTTGGTTATTAAACCCAATCACTCGCATACCCCTCAGTGAGATCTACAATCATAAGATCTATATCCAGCCATACAGCAAAGATGCTGCTACATTTTGACATTTGACCAATTAGATAAGCCCTTGGATTATATATTACCAACTGGAAATTGAGTTGAAAAAAAGTTAAGAAAGTTAAGAAAAAAGGGTAAAAAGCTAATTGAAAAGTTCAAAAGTTAATAAGCCTAGTCAACAATTATATTTAGGTATATAAACTAAAAAATGTAAGTGCCAGTATCAGCATTAATGCCTCTAAGGTAAAAAAAAATGTGTTTTTCATTAATTTCTTCTAAAAGCTCTTTTGTAATATTTCTTAATATATTCGGCAAAGTTGGTGTTTCTTGTTATTACATTGACATTCATTCTTGCCATCAAAATATCCATATTTTTTTATGTTCCAAAGGTAAGAAGGTCTTTTCCTGGATTCCAATAACACTATTGGCTTTAATTATGTTCTGGTTCATCAGAAATAATAATAAATAACAAAAAAAAAAACAAGTAAACAAGCCTGATGGAGCTCCTCAACTAAAATGTTGACCAGCGCTTTGAGGAAAACGCTGCTTTCAGGTGTTTCTGAAATGTTCAGTCAGATTTCTGCACCTATTGATGGTGTGTTGGTGAAATGTTCACCAGCGAGTGTGATGTGTCTGAGACAGTTTTATTTTGATTATCTTTAAAACCAAAACTCAATATCAATATTTAAATTTACCAAATCATTAATAAATCATTATAATTTTTTTTCAGTTTCTAGTTATTTTAATTTATAATCCATTTTCTGATTGCCAGTCTAAAGAAGGAGAGGTGCACAAGGGGCAGCAAGGTGTGTTGAAAGTGAAAAGTCAGGAAAAATCAGGTAAGAAAACAGACAGACTAGCAGCAACTGTTATCCTGGCAAAGAAAAACATATCATTCAGCAGATCATTTTACATTTATCATGGAAATAATTTTGGGACACAAAAGAGAAAACTCATTTCATGAAAACTGATTCAAAAGTTTCTATGAAATTAGTTGATTTACTGTGAAAGCTTCTTGCTTTGCTTTTCAGGTTTCAGATATGATGCATTAGTGAATGATGAAGTCAGTTATTAGCAAAACTCACTGAACAACTTTCAAAAATGTGTGTATAAAACAGATAAATGAATCTCAGCTCTCTGGGTGCCCAGTACCCCTGAACCTCTGTTCCTAGAATCGCTCCTGCTTTAACGCTTTATGATCTTACTTGGGGAAATTTCAGATTTTGACCTTTCAATTATTTTCCTGTAGATTTGCACACATTTCTACTTTTTTGTAATAACCAAATGCGACCAGTTATCTAAATTATGGAGGGATTTTAGTGTTGCAAGCGAGAAAGATGTTTTGGAAATGGAAATAAGATAAAAAAACACAGTCCAAGTCATTTTCAATTCTAACGCTCTTGGAGATAAGAAAACCCCAGTGAAAGCCATAATCTGCAAACAGAGAAAACGTGGAGCAGCGGTAATCCTTCCCAGGAGTGGATGTGCCTGGCTGATCAAAATCCCTCCAAGAACACATAAACCATTCATCCAGGAGCCACCAACAACCTCAAACAACATCCAAAGCACTGCAGCTTTCTTTTGAAAGTTATGAAAGGGTTCATGATTTAACCATAAGGAAGTGAAATAAGAGACGTGGTAGTGGGGAGTGTTGGCCTAGTGGTTAGAGCAGTGTGCTTGTGTTCTGAAAAGGTTGCAGAACCCGGTTCGATCCCCACAACCTGCACTCTGGCTCCCTGAGCAAAGACCCTTAAACCCTGATTGCTCCTTTGGCGCCACACAATGGCAGCCCACTGCTCCCCAAGAGGATGGGTTAAATGCACAGAGTGGATTTCCCGATTGTGGAACAATAAAGGGGTTTAAATTTACCAAGAGAGAGTTCAAAGGTCAAAACTCCTGCTGATATAACACAACATCTAGGCCTGTCTCAAAGTTAAGAAAAAAAAAATCTGGCAAAATGTTCTGTAGACTTCTCTGACTGTGACTAACTGGATGTGCTCTCTTTATCCTCTGACTTGGGAGCTGGCTCGAAGCTCGTCTGCCTGGCTGTGTGTTTTTTCTGGACGGGGCCGCCTGTAGAACTGGTTGACAGTTACCTTTCGTATATATCTGCTTCTTTTTCTCCTTCTGTCTCCTTGAACCCCAGTCGGCCTCAGCAGATGGCCGCTCACACTGAGCCTGGTTCTGCTGGAGGTTTCTTCCTGTTCAAAGGTAGTTTTTCCTCTCCACTGTCGCTACAAGCATGCTTAGTGTGAGGGATTGCCTTCAAGTCAATAAGTCGATGCAATCAACTGGTTTTTCTTAGATAGAAAACTTTGAATCAATCCGACTGGATAATCTGGTGAACTGTTAAGTGCCTTGAGATGACATGTTATGAATTTGAGTTATAGAAATGAATTGAATTAAAAACTAAATAAACCCTACCCTGAGACCGATGGGCGACACTCAGGCCATTTTAACCATTATCAGAAAATGTAAGAACTTTTATTTTGAAAATAACAAACAGGAAGTTAAAGGTGCTGGTTCCCCCAGTGAGAGTAGTTTAGGAAGAGTCTGCTCTGATCAGCAGGAGCTTCTGCCTCTCTGATCCTGCAGCTTTCAGCTTTGGAGAACATCTGGATGATCAGAAACCAGCAAGAAAGACCCGGATTAAAAAAAAAAAACCCAACAAATATTATCTTTGAACAAAGGAAGGTAAAATAGAAAAAGGTTGCTGTGGAAACAAAGCTCCGGCCAGAGGGGGAGCAGGGATCCACATCTCCATCCGTGGAGGTGGGCTCATCCTCGACTCGGTTCCGTTAATGAAGCCGAACATCTGGAGGACTTCATCTTAATCCTAATCTGCACCGGATGTGGACCGAGATGCTCGGTTTGGGAAGCAGGGGCCGATCCTCCAGCTCCACCATGGGAGGAAGGAGCAGCAGGTAATCCATCTGGATCAGCCGAACCCGCTCAGATTAGAGGTGGGATGGATTACCGCTGTGGTCACATCAAACCTAATCAACCGGTTACCATGACAACCGGCAGGCCAGCCTCTTGAGCGGTTAGATGGGGTGGGATGGGGTGAAGGCCTGGATGGAGCTGGTAGCTGATACCAGCAGCTGCTCCAGGCTGGGAGCTGAAGCAGGAGAAACAGAGGAAACTTTAACCCTGCTTCAGTCACCAGCTTCTACTAAAACTGTCCTGTTTGACATCTGAAGCTCCTGCTGAAGCACTGCTTTCATTTTTAATGACTTATGAAGCTAAGTGTTGAAGGGAAGGCAGATGTTAGATGGTTTATTCCAGGCTTATGACTGTAGATACCTGTGAAGCTCGGTGGTGGCTGCATCATGCTGTGGGGATGCAGTTCTACAGCAGGAACAGAGGAGCTGGTTTGGTTTGGGGAGACAATGGGATTAAAAGCAGAAGGAACCTTCATCCTATAGCGGCGCAGCAGGGCAGAGCTTCAGACCAACGCTTGTTACTCTAAATGATGCAGGGGTGTGAAGATTTCTGAATTAACAAGCAGATGCTTTTAGAAGCCAAAATACACAACGTGGAAATTAGTTTGACAAAATATATCTGATAAAGTACAAATAATAATAATTGAACTGTATTGATCTCACATTGGAGAAATTGACCTCTTCTTTTAACCCATCACTTTGTGGGGCAGTGGGCTGCCATTGTGCGGCACCCAGGGAGCAGTGTGGGGTTAAGGGTCAGTGCTCAGGAACCTAGAGTGGCAATCTGTGGCGATCGAACTGGGTACTTGCAACCTACTCAGAGCAGAAGCCATTTCTCTAACGACTAGGCCATCACCTTCCAAATACCTACAAATATGCCATTTAGTTTCTCTTTTACTCTAAATATTTTCATGTGGAGTTCTTAAAGAAAAAAATCAGGTCAAACTCAGAATTCAAACTTTTAAAAGTACTTTAAATGTGAAATTATTCCATCCTGTTCAATAAATGATCTGTGTTTTTAATTCAGAGTTATTTCATTTGAATGTGCTTTACTGGAGGCATCCATGTTTGTCAAAGAACACTACTGCCACCTACTGGTTAGTGACGTCACGGTGCGGTATCGGCTGTTGATCAAGTCCCAGTGCTGTATCTGGTGTTTGTCACAACGCGCTATTATCCAAGTCACCTTGAAAACATTCTTCTTCCAAATGTTGGCTACATATTACGGGTTTTTTCTCTGGCCAGAAGTTCGATGGCAAATCCTCCCTCTTCAAGTTGGCGATCCAACGACCAACCCGTCCGTGGAGGATCAGGAATCAGAAAGGTGGAATAACTCTTTTTTTTCACTTTTCCCCGATGTATTCCAGCATCCAGCTGCCATGCACGTGGGCATTGTCAGTTTCACTATAGCTCTGGTGAATTTCAATGGTGAAGTCCTCTGGAAATCTTCAATAATTGTTGATGATTGCAGATGTGTCTAGTAGTTCCCATTGATTTAGCTTGTAAAGCGGGGAGAATGGCGCTAGGCTTACCGCACCGTGACATCACATATTTGGGCAAAAATGGCCGCCCCTAGACTCAGTGATCGTGACGAAAATTATAGTTTTTTTTTTTTTTTTTACCGATTAATGCTAAATTCATTAAATCACCACAAAGTTATTAGTTTTAGGTATAAATAATGATTCATTGATTATTCCTTGCTGACTGGAGTTTTCCTTTAAAGGGCCCTGTTCTTTTTTTTATCTATCAATTCTGTGCTTTAGACTGTTTTAGTTTCGTTTGTTTGTAAACATAGGCTTTTTCTGTATTTACCGTAACAAGACCTCGTGAGGTTACCAGGCAGAGGTGCTAAAAGGAAAAAGTCTGAGCTCAAATGTGAAAAAAGTACTAAAGATGTGGGATGCCAAGAGGGAGCAGATGGCGACGGCGTACAGGGATGTTTATGTCTGCTGATCGCACCCGGTAGAAAAATGTACTTTCAACAGTATAAACACTATAAGGATGAAAGCTTGGTCTGCATGACCTCATCTTAACATGAACATGTGGTTTTTGCTGGTCTTTTATACGTGACTACAGGCCCCTAAATTTCAACTGAAACTCAAAATCATCTCTAAAACTATTTTATCCTTTCTGCAATATTAGTTCAAACCATAAGAAGCCAAAGGATGGCTTCATTTGTTCCTGTTAAAATGGTTTCATGATGTCGGCTGTTTGTAGTATTTGAATGAACAGTTTTCAGACTTTGACAGTTATATCTTTTTTTTTGGTCTGCACAACTAAATATTTTTTTAAATATTTTATTTATTCATTTCAGGCAACTACATGCATTGAAACATACAAGGGAAAGCCAGTTCAACAATTAAAACTTATGAGTCATATATAAATAACACAAAAAAAGAAAAACTTAAGCTGTTCCATATGTTCCATGATCGTTATTTGCGGCCATCAGTCACATAGAAAGGCTTCAGATTGTGCCTGTAGGCTCAGTAGGTTGCTATCACTGAGTGAATCCTAATCTTAAAGTAATTCCTTTTTCCTCGTGGAATTAATTAATCTATTTATGTGTACTCTGAAAATAATTTCAGTAGATCTTAATGTGCTGTAGAAATAAATAAATGAAAATAAAAAGATCCGCATGTTGCTCATATTAAACAAACTAAAAACAAAAAAATTTCATATCCTGTAAACTGGGTTGTAGAATCCTCTCCCTATAAATATTTAATTCTGTGTGAAAAAATGCCGATCATTCTTTAATAAGATCCTCATCTAACGGACATGCAATGCTTTTTAAAACTAATGTGTGTAAGGAACTTAGTGAATGATTTTATTTGTCATTTTATGTACAAACTACTACAAAAACCTGACTAAATCGTGAAATAAAACCGCGTGATTGGATGTATGGAGAGCGGAAACAGAGGACACTATGTAATGTGAATTACTAAGGGTATGCTGGCCTGACGCAGTATGCTGAGCTGACAGAACACTGGAGCAGAGCAAATAGTCATCCCACGTGGATTACTTTCTTGTGATTGATTGCAAATCATCCCCTGATAAAAAATATGCATTTGATCGAGGCACGTCATAAGTCTCAAAAATCCACACAGAATTGCATTAAAGTTTAAAGACCACTGGTACTCTGTAATATAATTTATGATTGTTTATGGACGAGAAATACTTTGGTGAATAATGTGCTGTGCATGTGTGGATCTTGTACTGTGTGTGTGTGGATTTTTTTGTACTTGCGTGAATCATGCTGTGTGTGTGGATCATGTACTGTGTGTACGGATCATGTACTGTGTGTACATCTTGTGCTGTGTGTGTGTGGATCTTGTATGCTTGCGTGAATCGTGCTGTGTGTGTGGATCTCGTACTGTGTGTGTGTGGATCTTGTGCTGTGTGTGGATCTTGTGCTGTGTGTGTGGATCTTGTATGCTTGCGGGAATTGTGCTGTGGAGGCGGGTCTTGTACTGTGTGTGTGTGGATATTTTTGTTCTTGCATGAATCGTGCTGTGTGTGTGGATCTTGTACTGTGTGTGGATCTTGTGCTGTGTGTGTGTGGATCTTGTATTCTTGTATGAATCATGCTGTGTGTGTGGATCTTCTATGCTTGCGGGAATCGTGCTGTGTGTGTGGATCTTGTACTGTGTGTGGATCTTGTACTGTGTGGATCTTCTATGCTTGCGGGAATCTGGCTGTGGAGGTGGGGCTTGTATTTGTGTCTGTGTATTTGTGAAAGTTTAAATCTATTTAGCTCCATAGTTCCAGAGTTTTACTCCACATACAGACACAAAAAACACAAAAATGGACTTTATGCCCAAAAATCTGAAATATGACCTTCTCTTGATTTGAAATGATTAAACCAAATAAGAATAAGATAATCAGGAGACGACTAGGAAGAGAATGCGCATGAGAGTCCAGCTCTATAAACTCGCTCTAACATCAAGATTCAAATAGGAAATCTGAATTGGTGTTAGTGGAGGAGCATTCATTAATGCATCACCTTCACTTAGGGCATCAAGCCACATGCTTCATTCCTTTAGATCCACTGAGAGATACAGAATCAGCAATGCATGTTTTAGCCAGGTGATGCAGGCTATTGTGATATGATATTGTAGTCGACAGGGGCCGATTTAGGAAATTTGGGGCCCTAGGCAAAGACAGCTTTTAGATGTTGTCGCCAAAGTCTCCAGTAGCAGAAAAAAAGTCACTACATTTGGCACTATGCGATTTTTTGCAATCAAAGTGATAGAGGGGTCTGAAAAGTTGCTAAATATAGCAACAAAAGAGCTAAGTTGGCAACATTTCTCTTTGCGTCGTTTGTTTTCAAATGGTTTGCTGCTGTCTGTTTGGACCTTTCTGAACATGTGCAGCAAATGGACTGATCCAATACGGTGGACTGTGAATTTATTATAAGCGTTCTGATGGCTTTTAGTGAAAGGATTATTTATCAAAAACACAATTTGCACAAATAAGGAATAGATGTATTAACCATACAGTACATGAGTTATAAAATGAGTTTTTTGGGGCCCCCAGGAACTTGGTGCCCAAGGCAACTGTGTAGTTTTGCCTAATGCTAAATCCGCCCCAGTGGTCGACCATATTCTCTCACAGGCTTGGTGCCCTGAGGATGGCAGCATGTCATTGACTACCATGATGGATGGCAGTCTGCGCCTCTCTGTGTCGCCGTCTTTGGATTTTCCATTTTCAGGGTCTTGAAGGCTGCAGTGATCGTATGCATCTGTTTACAGTTCTGGCAGCTTTGATGGAAATGAATAGGTTTTGTCTCAAACTCAAAGACAAAAAAAAAAGTCAGGTGGGCCGCAGACCAGGTCTAAGTTTTGAGGAAAAGCTGTTTCAGATGGAAATGACTGTGGAGAGCGGAGTCTGTCTAATTATTCGTTCTTTTGCAGAGGAGTCTTCTGCAGCAACAGCCCACAGTTTTTCTCTGCGACCTTTTCCTGCCTCTCATATTGTGCAGATAA